CCATGAAATATAAATTACATGTAAATCAAAATCATTCACAATGTACCACAAGAGCATAAGCATACACGTTTATTACAATCGAGCACAAGTAAAGAACACTTCAAGATAACAATCGAGAAATAACAAGGGACAAAATGATTCGTTAATTCAATGTGGGAGCCTATGTCAACAAACCGTCGGTTATTTTAACAAACCGACATCCAAATCATCAAGTACATAGGACAAAATAATTTAAATTGGAACCATCCAGTTTTCTCTACTCCCAACTAGCAATTTTGACCAAACATCAAACTTCATATGGGAGAATCAACACGAAATACACAAACATTAAAACAAATTGGTCCATTATACAAACCACCTAAAATAGAGACACAAAGCAAAATAAAAACTAGATATTCCACCACATAACAAGCAAGATTCCAAAAAACCTCCCACACACTTAAAACAAAACTGGGAAAAATTCAAAATTAGTCCCACAGATATAGGGGGGTGACAATTTTGGTCCCGACGGAATGCACAAAATATGAATAGTCCCACAACTTTTAAAAAATGATCAAAAGTAGGACTTTTTCGCCAGATTTACTATTTTCGGCCTGGAATGCCACGTGGCGCACACGTGGCTTATTCTTTACACGCTGGCTCACACATGGCGCACACGTGGCTTAGTTTTGAATTTTTTCCTAGATAGGGAAAAATTCAAAACTAGTCTCACAAGTATAGAGGAGTGACATTTTTGGTCCCGATGGAATGCAGAAAATTCAAAACTAGTCCCACAACTTGTAAAAAAATATGAACACGTCAGATGCCACGTGGCGTTCCAGGCCGGAAATAGTAAATCCGGCGAAAAAGTCCTACTTTTGATCATTTTCTAAAAGTTATGGGACTATTCATATTTTCTGCATTCCGTTGGGACCAAAATTGTCACCCCCCTATTATACCTGTGGGACTAGTTTTGAATTTTTCCCAAACAAAACTTGAACTTTAAACTTCCACCACTTAAAAACTAGACATCAAGATTCCCCATCAACGGCGCCATTTGTATGTAATATTTTTATCGAGTCGATCGTAAAGACCCACCTCAGGTCGTCTCACAAGAAAAGTTGTTCGGAGCTAAGTTTCAATTTTTGTCGTCAGAGCACAAATAAGAGAAATTAAAAGTCCTAAATATTCTAAGCATGTTTGAGGGGTTGATTTTAAGCTATATTAACCTACAGAATTAAAAAAGATTACCTAAAGGTGCAAACTTTAACTAAATGTTTGAACTTTATCGAGCATAGAGTTTCCAATACTCAAGCAGAAATGATAAAAAAACAAAGAAACATGCGAGTACTAAGACCCTATGATATTAAAAATGAGCCTTCTAACCTAAATGATGAAGCCTTAAAGAATGACTCAACCTTTAATACTAGATAAACACGCAATCAACTCCTAAATCTTAGACTAACAAGAGAAAAAAAAAGAATCAAACTTAAACCTAATTCCCTACGCAAGACACCACATTTACCTGGAATAACTTCGTAAGCAAAAGCGGAGCAAATACGATGTAATGAATCCTAAACCTAGGTACTCATCCTTCTATTGCATGTTCAAAGGAAATCGAAGTGAAAAGTTGAAACTTTCATAAAATCAGCAACATCAAAAGTCTGAGTCTTGGAGCTCCCAAATGTACCATTAATAAATAAAGAGAAAAGAAAAATGTAAGAGAAATACTTGAAAAGAAAAAAGTACAAGAATAAAAAGGCTGCTCCAAAATGGGACGGGCTAAATGTATTTACAGTCTGTCAAAACAAATAAAAACATGCACAACTAATGCAAACACTCGCGGGGTTGGCGAGGAATTCCACGAGGCATGAGTTTCTAGCTTGGCAGGTGTAGCAAGGATGCATACTAACGTGGCTGGTGAGAACTTCCGTGGGCGAGGCTCATTGCGTGCGTCACAAGTTGACGGGCTTAGGTCTCAAAATCATTGCACACTTCTCTGATTGTCTCAAAATCTCAACTTAAGTCTATCAATTTTTTTCCATCTCCTCTTGGACAACACTATAATATATCACCATGCATATATGATCGAAAATGAAAGCTCAGAACGGTACATCGCCAAATGGGGATTTCTTCCTCCCGAGCCTACAAAAACACCAAATCACATAAGAAAAACCTAAAATGCACAAACAAGACTCAAAAACTAAAAATTACTAGAAACGAACAAAAATGTCGGTTTACTTTGCTAGGCTCCTGGTGGCCTATACCTCCTGTTCTAATAGCTCGGTACCTTAAGCCCGGGTCCAAGCTACTTGACCGAGAATCTCACCTCTGTACCCTAAGGAGTCCTTAGCCGAGCTACTTTTGAGTGCTACATCAGCGCAGTCTGCCCCTTTCCCTTCTGTTTTCTCAATTTAATTATCAATCCTGCTTATCGTATTCTATTTTTTGGTCAAGGAAAGGCCTAAGATACCTGCCACTGGATAAAACACTATGGATCTATAAAATAAAAGTTAAAATAAATTGAGAGATAAGCATGTCGATCTATGCCTATGAGCGGTCAAGGAAAATCACCATGCTTGGGAAAAAAGATAAAGAAATACCTGACTGGATAGGCGTATCGTCAGCCTTCGGATGCAAACCAGCACGAGCCAACCTTCTTATTCTAGATTAAGGATCGACAACTTCTCTCAGGGATTGTCAATCCAAAAATAATATCTAGTTTACCGTTAAATCACAGACCCAGGAGAGGTACGACCTTCTCCGCTGCACAAAAGAGAAGAAAAAATTAAACAGAATTAGAGTACTCAAGTTCGATAATAAAAACTCATGCATTTTCTCCACAGGAGCGGTCGGTACGAATAAAGAACTATCGGACGATTGACTAGTCTTCCACTCTCCAGACACCCAAAACCACTCATGATTCCACTTGTGACGAGATTTAGGTATACCGTTCACCAAATTGGCGTGCCAAATGAGAATACTCTGATCCTACCTTCGATGTATTCCGCATATATATGAAGTATATTTCCTCTAAAGACGGTGTCGACCAACCCTTTTGCCTAAAAAGGACAATCAAGGAGCACAATCGATATACAACCTTCGAGTGAACCTGAGTGACGTGGATTCCCTATACGACCCGCCAACGCTGCATCTACTAAATCTATGTCATAATCACTACTGTCGGACATATAGATCTGATATAAACTGGAAAGAAAGAAATTTGAAGAAATACCTACGTGAAGAATTGCCAAAAAAACATAATCGCGCCAAGCGATGGACATAAAAATTGGAAAATTTTAAATTCGAGGTTGAAAGAAAGATCTCAAGTCCCAAAAATATCTTTAATTTATAGGGATGCCTTAGTTTTCTCTATCATCATATCTCATCGCATTAAGGCCCAAAATCCAAAGGTCACATCCATTTACGTCAAGGGCCATGAATCGACGACACCTGTGCTCTCATGCCTAAAATGACACACCTCTCTCAGGAGGTTGTCTTTCTCTCCTCATTTAATGTTCTAAGCCAAAAGGACGCGTCCCATCTCTTGCCAGTATAACTTACACATCCTTTCAAAAAGTAATGGCGATCACGTATTGGATTGACACGCATTAGCAAATAAATAGCTTTCCAGGCGTATAACAATCGGGTGATAACATGGGGCCTCCTTGTAATATATAACAATCGAATACATAAGTTTTACTTGGTTTTAGAAAGGTCTAATTTTTGGTATTGTTGGAAATCAATTCTGTCCAGCTGCTTCAATCTTAGCCCTTGATCATGATGATGATGGCAAGCATAAAGAAAGGACACAAGTTCCATGTACCATGCAATCATCTCAGCCCTCAGATCACAATCAGTTAGCTAAGAAGATCTCAGCCATTGGATCATATTCTGACGTGTGCATGAAGACAACCATGCACTGTGAGGGAGAGTGAACGGTTTTGTCCTATGTATTAATGTGTGTGTGGCTTTTTCCCTCTTAGGTAAAACGTAGGTGAATTCTTTACCCTAGCTAGTCTTTATAGCCTGCTATAAATATGTAAATGACTGCCATTGTTGCAGCATGAAATCAATGAACAAAAACCTATTCTGAGTATGGAGTTTCTCTTGCTTTTCATTGCTATGATGCTCGTTTTACCATATTTTGACAGGTATTTTGAATCCAACATGTCATTTCTTTAACCTCAAGCACACATGTATTTGGATATGTTGGTTGCAAATACTAGTCAAATGGTAACTCGTTGGCATTGGCTGAAATTTTCAAACTTAAAGAACCATGCATATATCACTCGTATAAAAAGTAAAACCTATCATTTGCTCCACTACACTTAGGCCAAATTGCAAAAACTAGCCAGTAATTTAGACGGGTTGGCAGTTTTACCCACCTTCTTTCGATTTTGGCAATAATAGCCAAAACGTTTTAAAAAATCGGTCCTTCTACCCAAATCCGGCCAAACTCGTCGGAACTCCGCCTGAGGTCACAAAACTTGCCAGCGTGGACTACACGTGGACGAATTAATCCACCTCATCCACGTGTTTGGAGTTTGCTATGATGGTTGCTCGGGCTGCTATTGCCAAAATCGAAAGATGGTGGGTAAAACTGCCAACCCGTCTAAGTTACTGGCTAGTTTTTGCAATTTGGCCTAAATTACGTGGATGGTGTATTTATAGACGGTATAGCTGAGGTGGATTAATTCGTCCACGTGTAGTCCACGCTGGCAAGTTTTGTGACCTCAGGCGGAGTTCCGACGAGTTTGGCCGGATTTGGGTAGAAGGACCGATTTTTTAAAACGTTTTGGCTATTATTGCCAAAATCGAAAGAAGGTGGATAAAACTGCCAACCCGTCTAAGTTACTGGCTAGTTTTTGCAATTTGGCCCTACACTTATACCAATTCACCTCTTCGTCTAGCAACCAATTAATCAATTAGATATATTTCACTCGGAGGACAGTGCATTCTGCTTTTATTGTAAAACTTTATTATTATTATTATTTTTAATTATTGTTTACATCTAGTTATTATGTAGATTCAATTTGATCCTCACACTGTGTCTCCCAAGAAGAAAAAGAATAAAAAAGAAAAAGGAAACAGAGATTAAGTTGCTGCTTCCTGAAGAAAGTAATGCTATATTGGGTTTTTTCTTTGAAATAAAGTTCATCCAAAATTTGAACAACAATCTTTTTTTGCCTCTACATCTCACCAGGCCTTTGTATTTTCCGTGATTTGACATCAAGAGATTGACTGTTAGATATTGCTTTAAAGAGATCGATTTTCTGTAGATTGATTCTGATATCCCTCCGCTATCCACTATAAATACCCTTCTTTTCTTCATAATCTGCATATATCATCCAAAATATCTATCTAGCTACTTCTGAGCCAACTAGCAATGAATGTGTCAACGGCCAAATCCATTTTCCTAGTGATCATTGTTGTTATTTTGGTGTCCTTACATGCTGATGCCTATGATCCCGAACCTTTGCAGGATTTCTGTGTTGCTGTCCATGACACAGACGCTGCCGGTAATAATAATTTTTCAATATACATGTTTGTTTGTTTTTCATTAACTTATTCTGTGTCTATGTTAGTTAATAATTATTCAAACTTTCATGATTCATCCTCCAATAATATACTAACACTACAAAAAAATTGTAATATTCTAAAAGAAAATCATATGACAATATATTTCAATGAAAATTCTAATGGATATTCTAATAATATAGCTTCCTTTGAATGATTCAAACGGAAATTCCAACGAAAATATACCGTCGGATTGTGTTTTCCAACGGGTTTTTACAGTAGGAATTTCCGTTAGAATTTATATTTCCACCACCGTTGGATTATCTAAGAAGTTCCGTTGGAATTTTTATTTCCACCACCGTTGGAAAATCTATCGTTGGAGTCGTCAAAATCCAACGAAAATTCTAATAGAAAACTCAATCCAACGAAATATTTTTGTTAGAATTTCTGTTGGAATCCATTGAAAAGTTCCAATAGAAATAATAGCATTTATTGGAATTGCCGTTGGAATTCTATTGGAATATATTTCCGTTGGAATTTTCAATTGAAATTTCATAATTTTCTTGTAGTGTAATCCATTATTCAATACAATAGATAAAAGCAAATATAAGTTGATTGACATTAATACATAGTCAATATAAGGATATTAATACATCAATACCTAATTGGACATGTGTTCTTCATCCATTTATATTTATATATTTATTTTCTTATTGAAGTATTCGTGAATGGTAAGATCTGCAAGAATCCCGACACGGTCACCCCAGACGACTTCTATTTCTCAGGCCTCAACAGGGTCGGCAACATAACAAGCCCTTTCGGGACAGTGGTGACTAAAGTATTCGTTGATGAGATGCCCGCTCTCAATACTCTCGGCTTAGCCATGTCTCGCATCGACTACGGACCCTACGGAGCCAACCCACCCCACTCCCATCCCCACGCCTCGGAAATCCTAATGGTGATGGAAGGCATGCTCTACGTGGGCTTCATATCCACTAACCCTCCCAACCCTTACGACAACAACAAACTCTACTCAAAGGTCATAGGCCCGGGAGACATTTACGTATTCCCCAAGGGACTCGTACATTTTCAGTACAATCTCGAGAAGAGTAAAGCACTTGCGTTCGCGAGCTTTAGCAGCCAAAAGCCGGGACTCGTGACGATTTCAAAGGCGATCTTCGGGTCAGAGCCTTCGGTCTACCCGGATCTTCTCGCCAAGTCGTTCCAGATGAGCCATAAAGAGGTCAATCATTTACTATCCTTGGAGTGGATCGGGAACGCCTAGTCGAAATACACGAAGATTGATCGTGTTAGTATTTCCGTTTTTGGGTTGGATTGGATGGTGGTGTTGTTCGATTGTGGAGTGTGAGTGTGCACGCGCGGAGTGAAGTTTGTAAGGCTGAATCGTAAGACCAGCTATTGTTGTTTTTCTTTTGAGAGAATGTGTTTCGAAGTTTGTTGTGGGTCATTTGGTAATTTATCTATGAAGTAAAACTCTTTGATGTACTATTATAAAGAACGAGTGATTTTATAAAATAATGAACTACCTAATAAATTTTTACTATGATTTGTTTTATATTTTTTAATTAATAACCAATATTCTACCTAAAAATTTTTACATTTACATATTTTTAATGCAAATTGGTAATACGCTAATACTCATCATATCTTATATTTTTAATTAACAATTAATATTAAATTAATTATATAAATACATGAATAAAATATTTCACAACTCATACAAATCAACCACAATATACTCGCATCTTTATTGCTCACGAATTTGCTTTCTTGAACATATCTCCAAACTGTTTTCTTCCATATATCTCAAAAATCAACCCAAACAACAAAGTTTTTAAAAAATATAGAATTGTTGATTTGTAATATATCCTTATTTAATATAATTTTGATAGTAAAATCGCATTCGTATTTAATAATCTTAATGTATGACAGTTGGTTAAAGAAACCTGGTCGAACAATAACAACATAATAAATAATTATAATGAATTCAAATACTTTTAATTGTTTATTTGCCTATCTACAATACCAAAATGATAAATATAATCTTGGTAAAAAATGACAACTTAGTTGAGAGGTAATTTTTATAAAATAACTAATATCAAAGATATATACGTAACCTTAATTAAGAGAAGATAGCTAAATATTTTACCGAAATCATTCATAGATATAATATATACATAACCTAACAAGCTAGAAAAGTAGAATAATTCATTCAACTACTTCATTATTTAAGAAAAATAAACTCTTGTGTTTAGAAATAGAATTAAAAATTGTACCTTAGTCTTATTGGATTGAATTTTAATTTCACAAAAATCGTCATTTAGTTATTTTTTTAATTTTGGTCTCAAAGTTAATAAAGTTAATGTATTTTCACATGACCATTAGGTAATTAATATCAAGTTGAGGAATATTTTAATTATTGACACTTAAATATTTAAACTTTTTCATTCAATAATAAACTAAAATCTATCATTATAGTTTACTTAATAAACCAACAAACTGATTAGTTGGCATAGTTAGATTGATTAGGTTAATTAGTTAATAAGTCAGGTTAATTAGTTAGGATAAAAGAGTCAGCTCACAGTATAGCCTTCTAAGGGATTTCTCACTCTTTTTTAATCAAAGAGTGAGACTTATTTCGTTAGGTCAGTAAACCTGTGAGTTGGAAATTACTATTAATCACATGGTGTGTTGTCGATTATACTCGATCACAGTGTACTAGTGCGCCAGGTTGATGATGCCCCCGATGTAAGCTCAAAAGGATTATTATACCAAGTCCTGCGAGCAGATTTAGTTATGTCATAATAATAAAGGTTGGGTGGTACTAGTCTCGAAAAGTCAATAAGTTAATTAATTAAATTGTCAACAATTAAATAATTAATGGATGTTATATCTTTGGCAATGGAATATAAATCAAGGACAGTGGAGCCCATGTAATTGGGGTGAGAAAATGTAGTGCAATAGTAAATATTTTGAACCAGAAAATAGGGTGGACTACAGTTGAAGTACTTCTCGACTCATTGGGAGACCTGTTCTTAACCTCCTTAAGGTCTCTGTTGTGAGTTAGAGCCGTCAAAATGAGCCAGAAAAGCGGGCTGACCCATAGCCCGCCAAAGACCGCGGTCTTGCGGGGCGAGGCAGGCTGGCCCGCCAACATGGCGAGCCAACAAAATGGCAGCCCACCCCATCCCAACAATGCAAATGGCCACAATGATATGATAGTAAAAACAATGGTTTAAAAAATTGAACCAAAATGGTCGATCCAACCGATTGAACCGAAAAACGCTCAGTTGATCAGTCTGGTTTGACAGCAAGTCGATCAAAAACCAACCAACGACCAGTTGAATCGATCAGAATCGGTCAAAAACAGGTCCGCTCCAAACCAGCCTGGTCAAACCAGTTTGAACAAGTCTAACTTTTTTAGAAAAAATAAATTTTAGTATATTTTATAATTTCTTTAATATAAATAAAAAATACATATTTAAATATAATGGATATATATAAGTTATATATATATATATATATATATATATATATATAATAAGAATTACCATTTACCAAATATAGTAGCAAAAAAATAGGTAAGAATTTAATGCGACCTATAAATAGTAAGTTTTATTATTATTTTTTATTTTTTCTTTCAAAATCATACAGCATTAAATGCTACCTTAAATTTCGGACTTTAGCTTATTTTATTATTTAAAAAATTCGACTAAAATTTATTAAGTGTGTATGTTTTTATTTTTATTTTTTTCTTAGAAACAACGAACAATATTAAAATTTCGGTCTCTATATTATAAAATCTCAATTCAAAATATAACAAAAGTTTTAGAATCTCGGTCTTTATATTTGTGCCTTTAAAAAAATATTGAACGCTATATATTATTTAAATTGCAAAATCAATCAGTTAATCTTAGTTTTTTAAAAATGACTATGTTTATTTTTTATTAATATGCGTAAGGTAAAAATAATTAATTCATCTTTAGATATATAATTTATAATCTTAATATACTATCATTTGGTGTAGACATTTATTATATGAACCATAAAATATTTTTATTTCATAAAATTAAATATATTTAAAGAAAATAAGAAAATTTATTCGGATCAATCGGGTGATTGAATTAGGGTACTGTACAGGTTGATTGAATTACTTTTAGGTGATATTTAAAATAGTAAAAAAACTTGACACAACTTGTTGGTCCCAGGTGACTAAGTTATGTATGAGTTCGACCACACCAAATCGATTATTGAACCAAAATATAAATTTTATATTGAAAATATTTTATTACGTGAATGTGATGTAGTCCAAACTTCAAATAATCGTATTAACAATACTTTTTATGAAAACATGTTTAATGATTTATGAATATTTATACATCATTTTATTAATATCTATGTGAATTAAATAATATTTTATTATAATATTTATTAATGTACAGTAAATATAAGGTATTCAGAACTGGACCATCATCGAAACGATCAAGCTATTTTATTAAATCATTTGTAGTTTGTTCATATTTTAATTTATAAACATTTTAATATATATATATATATATATATATATATATATGTAGTATCTTATGTGATAAATTTAAATAAAATGTGTTACTTAAATATCTAACAATTTATAAATTTAAATGTTTAAACTAATTGATAAATGACTTATAAATCTCTATTTTATTTAAATATGTAATTTTATTTAAAATAATTTTAAATATAACAAAATTTATTTAGAAAATCGTATCGATCCTACCAGTCCAACCGACTGGTGTTGAAGGATTCAAGAGCAAATATTTTATTCAAGCGTACTAGACTGGTTATAAACCAGTCCTCAGTCCATCTGGTCGGACTATGTTCAATCCAATTTAATTTTAAAGCAATGGATGAATCATGATTAATGTTTTTTATATATTTAATTTATAATACAATCGTAATATTGTCTTTCCATGCATCGCACGGACCACGCACTAGTTATTACTATTTAATTAAAGAAATTTCATATATAAATTTTATTATATAAAATATTATATATGTTTGAAAATATAAATAAATTAAATACCAATCCAACCAGTTCAAATACTGATCGGAACAATGAACCATTGGACCACATTAGCTTGACCGGCTTGATGACCGGCCTGTTTTTAGAATTTTGGTAAGAACAATATATACCGAGCATACAAAGTGGTTTTTCCACACACACTACGGTTATAAACTCCAGGCTAACGTCCTACAAAACGAAAGAAAGAACAAAGAAACAGAGCAGCAACTAGAGATTATTTATACAAAAAGCTGCTCCATGTGACCAGTTGAAATTCAAACTACGTGTGTCACACACGACCAAACCAGATCCAACAACTTGGGAGCAGAAGATTAGGGGCAAACTTCGTAAAACCTGCCAAAAGAAGAGTGAAAAAGAGGCTAAGGACCCAAAGAAGCATGCAAAGGTCAAATGAAACCACAACAAATGCAACTGGTGGCTATTGTCTTAGATTTTCTGTTGATTTTTTCCAGATAGGTTCACATTGTTCCTAGTAATCACATATGTAACGCTTCTCAATTCATCACTTTGTAAGGGATACATCGAAAGGGATTACTCATTATATAAGCCCAAGATTTTCTGGATGATATATATTCTTTTTTAACGGAGATACACAATCAACTTACAAACTCTGATGAAGACACCGGCCAAAAAGCAACAATCTGCAAGGAAAATGGACCGGTCATGTTCAGGTAAATGATGTGAGAAACTTATATTAAGCAGCACAAACTTGCAATAAACTCGTACCAGCACTGTTTAAATCCAGACATCCTCTCCAAGTAATCCACAGCTTGGAGAATTGCATGAAGAGTCATTTTCTTCACCTTCACAAAAGATTGAATATGTCAAAGTCTGGTTCAACTCATCTAGCACATTTTCTTTCCATCTTTCTTAGTATTTGTGTGTGCGCGCATAATTATTCTATTTAGTGCTTGTGCATTCTTTAATGAGACTTGAAGAAACGTCATCTTTCTTCGACACGGATGCCACACATGCATGCCTAAATTATCAGATTCAAAAATGAAGAACGCATGAAAGGTTGAAAATTATACCTCTAACTTGTCTTCCTTAGCCCTATGATTTTGTGGAAGAGTGCGGAATTCCTCTGTTAACCGAACGCACTCTTGGACGTTTTCCGGTGAGACAAAGTCAAGTGCGACCTTAATGCAAGACTATTAACAAAAAAATAGAAAAGACGGAGAAGGAATGTGTTTTAGCCCAAACAGAAAGCAAGTGAAATGCAAACCATGAGTTCCAGATGATGATGGTGGTGATGATGATGGTGGTGATGATGATGATGATGATGATGATGATGATGATGATGATGATAATAATAATAATAATAATAATAATAATAATAATAATAATAATAATAATAATAATAATAATAATATATGAGAAGAAAACACAACACCAAAAATAAAGGAATTCTACTGTGTGGGGGGGGGAAGGAAATTAGATAAGTACTGCAATGAACAACAGAAATAACCAAAGAAAATCCCGGGAACCAAATATTGGACAATGTGATCAGCTTTGTATCTTGCTCAACCACGCTAGTGGTAGTTGAGAGAAAAATAGACGCTGGCTAAGTGTAAAAAGGACACTATTGATTACATTCTAAGGCCTTCTCCATCTTAACATACACTTGCATCGCTAAAAGTTTGTCCACTTCAGTGCTCCAATGGAAAATCCCTCGTGAAGCACTTGCAGATTGAATGTGATTAGGTGGCCCATAAATAACAAGGCTATTATATTGGCACAAGAACATTCCTGAAGCTTTCCAATTAGCTGTTGATTTTACCAAGTCTATAATGGTTGGTCAGATTCAGATTCTCAAGTTGGGTTACCAAGATTTGCAACAAATGCCCACTTCAAGAAGAGATGTTGGAAGTGTACATTGTATTGGCTTTAGAAAGTCGCTGACTGAGAAGTGTATTTTCTCCCTCCTTTCCTACCTACTTTGTGGGGTCTATATATAAGCGTTGTATTCGACTTGCCCAGATATTGAAAATAGAAAATTCAATCCTCCATTTTTCCTTTCTTGCAAATCATAAAATATGATCCCCAAATTGAATAACCATCAAACTTTAAGATAGGGCTGTTTCTTGCCAAAAATTATTCTCTGATGATGATAACATCACTTCTAATTGATCAATTGTCAACAGAGCATGAAATCAAATGTGTTTGGGTCTGGAAATAATGCAATTAATGTACTCATCATATATTCAAATGTATAATACGATAGCCAAGAAGAAAGGATTTCATGAAGCCCCAACGGAGAAATTTAGTCTTTCGAATAATTAAAAGATGCTTAATGGAAACTTGAAGCAGAAATCACTCAGTAATTAACACAAAACTATTCTATTATGAACCAACACATAACACGATTAAAATGGATGAATTTACCTTTAAATTTCTAACTTGGTGTGGACAGCCAGCAGGTATAAAAACAGCATCACCCAACTTCTGAACAAAAGTCCATGGTTCAATCCCTACACAAGGACAAAAAAATGCAAGACATGAACGAAACGATATTTTTCTTATACCTGGCTACCACATGGAATAG